TTTTTAAATTAAAAAACAAATATTATTCAGAATTCGAAGATTTATTTTGAAAAATACAGCAATTATTTGAAAATCTGTTCTCTCTTTCTGTACATCTGATTACAAATTATGGTCAGACAGACTCGTGAACGCGGATCAGATCAGACCCAAAAACAAGCGGCCCTTTAATACCCTGATTCAGAGCGACATTTACAACATTTGTCTCTTACATCTCTTACATAAACATTTTTTTGTATATTTTTTTGCACATTTAATTGTTTTCTTAAAGACTAACAAAATTCTATGATTTTTAAAATTCATATGATATTTAAATCTTTTATTTGTAATAATTATATATTTATATATATTCTGTAAATATATATCAAATCTTAGAATTATTAAATAAACACACAAAACAAGTCATTAGCGATATATTAGGATAAAAGTCGCGTCAAGACTATTATAATTATACATCAAATCGATTGAACATTTGTTTTGTAATTTATAAAACAATTCCAAGAATTTAAATTTAAAAATTAACATTTGAAGTCCCATTTGCGCCACAAAGTCATCAAACAATAACCAATTTATACTAATATTTACAGCATTTTGTTTTATAGAGAAAGTTTAAGCTGTGATTCAATTGTTTGACAATATATCTCATATTTATTGACGACTGAATCAATCAATGAATTGCATTACAATTAATTGTTCGACTTATAACCGGCTTATTATAGGCACTCAAGTCGTGTGATTTGTTTGTTTTGACACTTTTTGTTTTAAGTCTTGTTTTTAATAACAATATTCTCTGACAAAACTTTATATTTCCTTTTTGTTAATATATTGTATTTGTATTAATAATTCAATAAATATTATATAAATTCATATTTATATTTAAATATTAAACATTTGGCTGAAGGCACTTAAAAATTATAATTTAATTCATTTAGTCATCTCTTGTTCACAATAATTAAAGTCATTATTTGTAATGCAATTAATCGATAGTTTTGATTATAATATGAGACATTTTGAGTCCTAAAAGTGTCGATAATAGTCAAAAATCCGGCTCAAAGACTGGATATATAAATACATTATGATATCAATACATAGATATATACTCTCAGCTTATTATACAATATCTCATCTGACTGTCCAGTGGTTAAGCGCAGACTTTCTCTCATATTATCAACACTTTTGACAATAAACATAAAATCATAATTTTGTACATCTTTTGTTAATAGTGAGAGAGTTTTAAAATATATATATTAATAATATTCATATATTTGTTTTGAAACATGTCTTCATTTGATGGGTTTGTAGGAAAAGATGTCAAACAATTCATTGAGAATACATTCACTTTTTGTAATATTATTTGTTTTGTTTGTTTTAGAAAAAGACAATATATTTGATTTGAGGCCAAAGATCTGATTCTCTTTTAATTCATACAAATCGACACAAAACTCATTGAATTTTGGTTTATGTTGTTATATATAATAAAAATGTATTTTGTTTTACAATTATTGATTTGTTTGAGAGTTGAGATCAGATTTATAGCCCACACCCAAAATAATTACTATCCATAGAAATTGTATTCAAAATTAAAATTAGAGCAAATGTTTTGTGTTTCGATAGTTAACATTAGAGTTCATGTAATTTGCATCTCAGCTTCAATTGTAATTATAATCATAATTAATAGTAATAATAATAATAATAATGTTTTAAATATAAGAAAAACCCGTTAAATAAAAATAACAGCGCGTAATATCACAAATGTTTTTGGGTTTTATGCCATTTTGTCTCACTTTTCATTTTACTACTCAAACTCTAACATACATTACATTTACATAATTTATTTAATAAATTAAATACCATTCCTTCCATTCCATACTCTAATCAATTCAATCATTTCATTACATCTCTTGACTCTTTCCCTGTCCTCCAAATCATTCCCTATTTATGGCATTCATATCATCGAAAATATAGACTTTTTATCTGTTAATCAAAAACTAATTAAATGTGTTCTAAATCTGATATTTTTTTCGGTCTTCAGTTTTAAAAATTATATCCATTTTTGTTGTCCAACAAATCAAATCATTTTTTAGATATTTTGATAACTTCTCTAAAAATACTATGTTTTTCACCTGAAATCCCTGCGAATAAAACAAAATTATTTATAATATTTATAATGAAATTATGAAAAAAGTTGATAAACGAAATCAAACAAACAGTTTCTTCTGTTTTCACTAAAAATATCGAGAATTGAATAAAAGACGTGTCTTTTCAATGTCTGGATAATGGGATCAAATTATTATGAAATAGTGTTAGTGTTTGCGTACAGTTATATAATGATCACAAATGAGTATAATATAATGCAAACGTTTGATAAAAGCTTCTAAATATTATATCAATTCTTGATTTAATAATTATATTTCAATGTTTTGATGCAATTTTGCAGTTCAGGCAGTTTTGACCCAAAATCTCAATCATTAACTTCTTTTTGTTTGTAAATCTCTTTTTATATCTGTTTTTAATTAGACTTTATATGGAATGTAACGAAAAATATTCATTCAAATTATGCATTCATTTGACAAAATATAATTTTGGAAATAAAAAATGTAATCAAAAAAAACATGATGGTTATAATTTAAATATATATATATTTATTCATTTCAAATATAAATTCTTTTCATTCAAATCGACTTTTGGATGATTTGTTTGCATATTAACTAAACTTTAAGATTAGCACCAAATAAATGGTTGAATAAATGTGAGAAAAACTGCAAAATTGCACCAAAACTTGGGTATTAATGGACGTATAAACGAGTGTTATATATAGTGTCTGTTAATGTCTTAATATAATGACAATCATTTGTGTTGTTGTGATGACAATTATACACTTGCAATGATGTAAATGAAGCCATATTTTCAATATTGCAGACATTAATTGATTTGAAGGCAAATTGTATTTCATTCAGCAAATGGTTATATTTATGCCAATATTAAAACCTAATGCTATTGTTTGGATAATAGAGTCGTTGTTTAGCGGAAATGTTAGGGTTTCTAATAAAATATGAGATGGTTTGACGTAATAATAATAATAATAATAATAGTTAATAATAATAATTAATAATAAATTTAAATATTAAACAGTGAATGGAAAGGTAGGTCACCGGTAGCATTGCTAAGCATATAAAGTACATGATAATAAGGGCCGAAGCAGTGGACGTCTCATTGATTGTCAGCACTTGCAGTGTTTGTAGTCGTTGTGCGTTACGAGAGATCTTCGAATACATACAATACTTTAAACTGTTGTCTCAAATCAATGATATGGACATCGACTGCAACGGCAACTAAACAACAATTAATAATAGGTATGAGATGTGGTTGTAATCGAAGCCTTTATAAAGTAGTTGAGTGTCCCATATATGGTTTGACAATGATTTGAATGGCAAACACTCAACACATATAGTGATGGCCACAGAGTTAGTGCTATTCTTGAATGTCCCAAATCTCGGCCAAAAATGGGGGCAACTTTTTGTTCTGCACTTTCAATGAGAAACACATCTCGGAGTTGATGTTCCCGAGAGTTCGCAGTTCTGTCAGAATGGCTAACAGTCGGGCGAAATAGCATTTGCCGGGAGGTCTGTGGTTATCGACGTATGCTTTCAATGTGTCGATATAGAACTCCTGAATCTTCTCCACTTTCTTCGGCTCTAATAGAGACGGTCTCTCTGTTGGACAAAACAAGTCAATGAGTATGACATGAGAGCAATCATTGGTGTCTATGTCTTACCACTGAAGATGACAATAGCGGTTAGGAGAGCGTACTCTGCGTTGTCTACTTTGAGAATACACATCGATCGACAGAAATTAAACAGAGCATCGGCTGAGTCGCCAACACTAGCGCTTCGGTAGTTCTCTCTGGTGTAGGGCTGGTTATTGGCGTATACTATCGAATCCGTCTTAATGTCGTATTTGCGGGAACACCTCAACATCATCACTTCACTCGAACACGCCTACAAGCAATGCACATCATATTAGTAAACAGTCAGTTATCACACAAGTTATCACATTATACCTTCAAGAGAGTGATCTGATCCTCCCTTAAGAGTGTGTCAAAACCGGGTACTCGTTTAGAAAACTCCACGATTAATTGTACGGTTAAAATAGTCATTTCGGTCACGTGTTGGAACCTTTTCAGACTATCGGATTCGCTCTCTCCCAACGGAAAGGGCTATTATTGGACAAAAACAGATTAATTGATTAGCTATAGTGATGACAATAGTGGTGGTCATGACATACAGTAATTTTCTTGACGTCATCCTCAGAGGGAGACTCGAACTCCTCCTGGAAGTAGACTAGCTTTTTGATCATCTCGTCCTGAGGGTTAGTCAACGGCTTTATAACATTGGAGTTAATGTTAACCGTATTGGACGTCAAGATACTGGGTTTGTCGTCAATCTTTTCGGGACTCATCGCTTCTTTAGTAGTGCTGTTGGGTTTGTCTTTGTCTTTCTGCGCTCTTTTGGATTCCCTTTTGATAGCGCACTGATACTCAGGTACCACACACTCCGGTCTCATACCGACACTCAAGCACTTCTTGAGTCGGCATTCTTGACATTTCCTTCTCATATACATATCGATTTCACAACTGTTTCCATATTTGCATTGATAGACAGCATTCTTAGTAATGCTTCGCCGGAAAAAACCTAAAAACCAAATCAAATCCATATTTTAAGTAAATTGCAAATCAATTCAAGTGAAAACTCTAATACCTTTACAGCCCTCACATGTGAGAGCATTGTAGTGATAGCCAGAGGCTCTGTCACCACAAACGAGACAAAGTTCTTCCTGTTGTCGGGGCGCCGGACCCTTCTTCTTCTTGGGATCACCAAAGCTGTCAACACTATAGCAACCGTTCACACTATTCGGTGGACTCATGTCTTCTTTGCCTACAATACACAATACAATATCTCATTAGATTCACAATTCATTACAAAATCATTATTTTATACATTAAAACAGTATGTCTCGACATTTCATTTCATTAACTATTCATTTAATGAATCAATCATTTAAATGCTGTATATTATGGGAAAATACACTAAATATCAAAGTTTTACACCATTATTAATAAGCAATAATTGTATACAACTATTGTAATATTCTATTGAGTTTCTTATATAAAAAACAGGCCAAAAATCTTTTTATAAAATTTCCAAAATTTTCAATATTATATTCAATGAAAAATGGAGACATTTTTCGGGAAGTTTTCACGAAATGTATTAAAAAGGGAAAGTTTGCATTGAATAGGGCTTTGAATACAGTGTTGGGAAAGTCTAAGAATGGGTCACTCGAGTATAGAAATTAGGCAAACGGTGGGGAAATGTATACAACAGTGGGTATACAAACTCCAGACAACATGACCTTACGGTCAAAAGTTTTAGGGAAGGGAAGAAGAGGGAGATATCAATGGAGTACTCAGTGGTCGGGAGAAAATGTCGTGAAACTACATAAAAAGTTTTGTCTATTTTTCCGTTTTTTAGGGAATTGAGTCACCATTTAATTGTCATTTGAGACATATATATAACATTTTCTAGCATCACATGTTCACTTACAACACATTTTCATATATGGTATTATTAATGATTCAACGAATGCTTTGGAAAATACAGTAAAAATAAATAGACGTTTTGAGACGAAATGCTAAACATTGGACAAAGTTAGCAGTTATTGTGATTTGGAGGCAAAACCGTCTGAAGACTATTCGTTGCATCAAAACGAGGATTACGAGAGTTTTGCGCAAAAATAGTAACTTTGCTATCAATGGAATGTAAGTTTAAGTTAAGAGAAAAAAATAAACACAGTTTTCATAGAGTGGAGGATAAGGTATAGGCGCCCCATAGACCTGGAGGGCCCAAATGCTCTCTCTCTCTCTCTCTCTGCACTCACTTTTGCCAAATGCATGTAAGTGTTACAACACAGGAGGACTCGATTCCCAACACAATTCTAACTCATATTAAAAACAACTTTAAAACCAAACATAACATTATTGCTATCAATGGAATGTAAGTTTAAGTTAAGAGAAAAAAATAAACACAGTTTTCATAGAGTGGAGGATAAGGTATAGGCGCCCCATAGACCTGGAGGGCCCAAATGCTCTCTCTCTCTCTCTCTCTCTCTCTCTCTCTCTGCACTCACTTTTGCCAAATGCATGTAAGTGTTACAACACAGGAGGACTCGATTCCCAACACAATTCTAACTCATATTAAAAACAACTTTAAAACCAAACATAACATTCAGTGATTCGTTATTTTATTGAAATTATAAACAAATAACAGCAAAATAGCACAAAGTATTATGAATTGCTGTAATATTGTCTCATATGATAAGAGATATGTTTGCGGACAAAATGGTTGATATATCTGTATTTAGGCTTTAATGAGATGTTTTTGTATATTTTTATTCAATACACGGATTCTGGGATAGGGAATAGGTTTCGGATAATTCATGAGTTTAGCAAAACAAACATTCATTAATGTAATTTAAAGTCTAACATATACTAAAATTACATGTTATTTAAACGATTTGATAATTTAATTGAGACAACAGTTAGTAAACAAAAATAATGTTGTATTGAGAGCACAACCAAAACACCAAAATTAAGTGATTGTTTGTTTATGAGACGAGCGGTCAATCATTTTCAAAATAGAGTATTGAGTTGTTGTGCAAAATATATAAGTGAGTCGAGACATACATCGCATCCAGTTTTGTAAATAAATATAGTAATTATTATACAGATAGGAGAGAGAGCGAATCCGATAGTCTGAAAAGGTTCCAACACGTGACCGAAATGACTATTTTAACCGTACAATTAATCGTTGAGTTCTCTAA